GTCCCGCCTCGGGGAGGGATGCCACCCACCAGCTGCCTCATCATCTCACCAACAGCATGTCCTTCTTGGCCCGCAGCACATCGGGGGAGTTGATGGGGGGTGGCCGTGCCCGCCCAAAGTTATGGGGGATGATGGTGTAGAAGCGGGAGGAGAGGTCCTCCAGGCGGGCAGGCTGGGGGGGCTGCTCCCGCAGCGCTGCCTCCAGCTCCTCCAGCGCCTCAAAGCCCTTTGCGATCTGCTGCTTGCTCAGCTTCCCCAGTGGCATCTTCTTCACGTCTGGCCGGGGATACAGGAGAGGGCACAGGTGAACCCATCCGCCCCACAGCTACTTCCAATAACTTCCAGCATCACCATGGGCACACGTGGGCACCCAGCATGAGGGGTCTACAGTCCCAGCAGGTGCTGGAGATGCTCTAAAATCCACTGGCACCTCTGCCTCATTCACCTCCCCACCTGCGTCCCCCAGCTGCTGCCCCCAGACCCACCCCATGCCACCCATCAGCTCCTACCGATATTCATGGTCTGCATGGCATCCCGGAACATGTCGCTGCTGAAGATGAGGGACACCAGGTCCTGCGTGGGTTTGTCCAAGGTGCAGGGCAGCACCCGCTGCTTGCAGACCTTGTCCCCGTCCACATCATCCACCTGCAGACCCCCAATGTCACCGCGCCGCCTGCGAGCCCACGGGAGGCTGCAGAGGCACAGCACTGCAGCTGTCCATCTCAGTGGGGAGAGCCTGGCCCCTGGGCAGCAGAGAGATGGGCAGGTGCTGCCTCCGCTTTCCATGAGTGGTGCCACCCAGATGCTCCTGGTTCTTCCTTGGGATGCCCTCCCACTCTATTCCATCCCATTAGCCCCAAATCTCTGCCCACAGGCTGTTTCAAGTGTACCCCGACCCTTCCGAAACCCACCCCATCCTGCTGACCCACTTGGAAGTCCTGGTGCCCAGTGGGCCAGGGGTGGGATGTGAGGACCACCCCACCATGGTGACACCCTGGCTGCCTGGCACACTCACCCTGAGGGCAACCTCCATCTCCTGCCCAGCCCCTGGCTGCACCTCAATGAGTGTGTACTTCCCTGGCTGGGCAATGAAGTTCTCCCTCGCCGCCCAGCTGTTCTTGGTCTTCTCCCGAAACTTCTTCTCAAAGTCCTTCTTGGCGGCCTCCAGGGAGGCGGAGGGCATGAGCTTGGACTGGCCAACCTCCCCCTGGCAGTGGACAGCAGTGGTCAGGACCCCCCCTTGCATGCCTACTCTACCAGCCCCACGCCGGGGGGAGCAGCCTGGGAACAGGGGGGGCTGTGATGGCAGGGTGTGGGGCAACGAGCAGGAA